AGTAAGGAGAGAGTTCTAGTGGCAACAAGTAAAAATAATTGTTTTAAACCTTCTACATCATAGAGGAATATTATTGTTGGAAATAAAGATAATTCTGTAATTGGTTTTATGTTCTTGTAGATTTATTTTAATTACAGATATTGTATACATAACTGACAACATTTATTTTATGATCGCTTGTGTATATATGTATGTATTCATGTATGTTGTTCTGCTATTGCTTATGATACATGTAGTATATTCTGTGACAAGTTCTATATCTTGTGGTCTTGTACCAATGATCGATCTTTGAATGCAATAAATGAAAAGAAAAAAAAAAAGATTTGGCAAATGCACTGGAACACAGCCTTACTGAAATACTGGCACTCACTGTGTGTCTTGCTGCCTTTCCTACTGTTAGCTGGAGTGATAACATTATAGGGTGGAGGTTACTAGTCCCCTTGAAGTACATACCTCTCAGAATTACTCGTAATGATATCTGAATAAAATACAGAACCCGGAATCCTCCTCACACCCAGGGGACACCAAACACCAACTTTTACATCATGTATATGATGTGGATTACCTGTGCTCCAATATCAGTTGTTTTGTATTCACTCAAATAAGATGAAGTCTGACGACAAAAAATGTCAATTCACAATCAGTGGTGCCACTGTGAACTGACTGAAGATACCACATACTGATACTACTGGGTCAGCAAACAGTGCAAAACTGTGGTTTTGCAAGGCCATAGATATAATAATTTTGTCATGGTTCTCATGACATTTCTATTTTTGTTCAAGATACTTAAAAGGCTCACAAGGTAAATGTTTAAGTCAAGCACCATACTGTAAAACATTTCTCCTAATAAAAATCACTGTTGACATTTCAGTTTCCTCTCTAATAACATGCCGGTTGTTTTTCTTTATTGAAAAGATCCTGAATAGTGTAACTGTGTGGAAATTGGCCCTACAAATCTTTCTTCTGTATTTTCTCTAACATGTCTAGTGGAATTAACTTCAAACAACATTCATAGAAGAGACTTGAGGCTCTAATGTAAACTTAGCCATGTCCAATATAAAAGGGAACCTTACAAAACCATAACAAAATTATTGAAATTGTGGCCTCACACAACCACAGTTCACATAGTTTACAAATATATGATCCTAACAGAGATTTTCTTTCAGCTCATGATAGTAAACTTGATCCTGAGGAGACATTTCTTCCAGTTTTATTTGAATACACATATAATCACAGATGATAATATACTGGAGTACAGAAAATCGGTACTTTACACATAAAGTTCAACTCCATGACGTAAAGTCAGTACTTGCTATGCCCCAAATGTACAAGTAAGGCCAAATACAGGCCTTGTGTTAAATGCATATATAAATAATTCTTCAAGATCTATAACATAAATATATTGCAAGTGGGCCAACAGAGTTCACTCTACAGTGCTACCAGCACAGCTGCCTGCGTAAGAAAGGTGGAAACAAATGCAGTGGGAGCACATAGCAGAAAGGCCATGCACTAGCAGATATTAAATGATCTCACGGCTTAGAGACATAACAAGTTCTTCAAGAAGGTGGAAAAATTCAAGTAATTTGGAACAACTTCAACAAATAAAAATATTAGATTTACAAGCTTACAGCTTTAACTCTGCCCACATTGTATCAGGAAATAAGTGGACGAGAAGACTTATGTTGCAGTAATACAAAGGAATCCTCAATGTAAACGTGTCCATTATCTTCACGCACTAGCACTGGCTTTGAACCTAATCAAAAAATGAGAACTGAAGTACTGGTTAACAGACAAACATTAGACTGCCATAAATCTTGCTAAGGCTTTATCAGGACAGTATATAACTATTGTGTAATTTTATAAACCACGTGAAGTATATAGAAGCTCTTAACATTTCTCCAGAAGAGGTCTCAATTCCAGTTAATTTCTGATATAGTGTATCTTTGCACCTGCTGTGTGGGAATACAGAACATGGATCTCCCATTAACACATTTCTTCAGAACAGACCTTGTAGATAGAATGGAGTCTCATTTCCACCAGAAAGAAATCATCTTATATTTCACCGATCTTAATCAAAGGTAAAGATTCTTCAGGAAATATCTGTTGTTTTTTAACTCTCTGCATAACAGTCATTATGTTATGAAATGGACATAAAAAGTTGCAGGGTTTATACTAGATAACATAATAGTACACTGTTGCATCAGCTTCAATTTCATCACACTATTTTGCTCTGAGAGAAAAATTAAAACAAATATGAACTACAAATACTTTAGCAGTTATAAACCTCTCCTCATCTCATCTCTAAAGGACTTCACACTTGATCAACCATTTACAGGAATAATAGACAAACTGATGTTTTACAAAACCAACTTTCTAAAGGAAGTTGCTGCATATTAGAAAGAAGGGAGTACAATCCAGTTTTACTTTCTGTAGTTCTAACCAAGGCATGAGCCATAAATATTCATCTACATTCTAGTTCTTAACCAAATTTTGATTGGACAACTGAAGCTATAACAAAGACACAGTAACTCAGTGAAATAAATGAACTGCTATACACTTCTAGGAGCAAACAGTCAACTGGTTTTCTTACCAATGGCACATTTTTAGAGACATTCGATCCTGACAAGGATTATGTGACACATTCCAGCAACTTGCATTGACCATCAAGAACAGAACAACTGCATAAACTTCAAACCCAGATGATGAAGATTTGAAACAATCCAGGCAAGATACATATCATCCAGATAACTTACCACTGTATTTTATAATACTGTGAAAATACTGGACTTGACTGGGGTGCCACACCACATAAACGCTCAACTGTGAAAAGGTTAAACAGTGAACTGCCTTTCAATGCTCATCACTTCCTTGCAAACATCACATATTCCATCCAGCCAAGAGGTATTCCAACAATTTGCATCAACTTTCAATAACAGAACCTGTACTCAAACCTCAAAACTACATGACGAAATTTTAAAAAATCCAGAAAATGAGAGTATGCTACTTAGTATAGTGCTTCAAAGTAAGAACAGCAAAGCACTGCAAAATGTAGGGCTACAATTTATTCTATACAGGATGGTTCTACAGTCAACTTCCCTGAGTCCCTCTACTCAAACAAGTTACAGCAGACCACAACAGATACGAAAGTTAAAAATGTGAAAAATGTGAATACTATTTTGTGTTAAGACACCACAAGACGGGAATCCAGAAGTTTCATAATCAGATTACAACATCTGGAAACAAAATTTAACAAAGACAAATCAAGGATCTGTAGGAATAAAAAACCTTTAAGAGCCAAACTAACAGCAGTTACAAGTGGTACAGCATCTTCTCTTTCTTAATACAAAGTTCCTTCTTTGAAGTTAAAAAAGACTTAGAAATCTGGCATGTACTCTTTCATACACTTAGCCAACATGCAACCACAGCAAACTCGCAAGTTGTTTCCACTGACATTACATCTTATATGACTGTCAACTGAAGATACGTTTTCCACGAGAATGTGATGTTAGATCCCAAAATCTTAGCAACTCCATCTGAACCTTTACCACTTATTGAAGGCAGGTTACAATCATATAAAAATAATGATATTTCACAGATAAACGATGAAATATGGTTGGGCTCAGACAAGAACAAGGTTCCACAAGCATGAAACTGGGGTAGAGAAATTTGTTTCATTAGAGCAAATCTTGAGCTGACACAAAGTTTGAATGTGATACTACCTTGAGCACTAGCTAGCTATAGGGCCACTTCTGATACCTCATCAGTGTGGTTATGTAACAATAACAACAACATTCTGCCACAAGAATTGTAGTTCTAATAGAATAATCTAATCTCACTGCACAAAAACATTTTGTAAGTATTCTCTGGCAAGTAAAATTATGAGTGAACAAAAGCAGTTCAGGAACCATCCCCATTTGAACGGAAACATCACTGTGGTATTGGACAAAAAGAAAGTTTTGCAATCAGGCTTACAAAACCTGCAAAACTGTGCTCATGGTAGGCAAGCTTGATTGCACCTTAGCATTTACTCAGATAATCATGTGGACATTTCATTTGCTCACAAGGCCAGAAACAATGTACATATATTTCTTCAATTTTCTATTATTTTCTGTACAAAAAGTTCAGATTAACTGTCCACATTTACGTTTTGTTAAAGGTGATATGATCAAATAATTTAAATAGCTGATTGCACTGCTTCTTGTAGGACTGAAATAAAACTGTGCTGATTACAGTGGCTGCATGGATTAAGGCATGAAATATCTTCACTCACTTGAATACTGGGATCATGGGTTTGAATCCTACTTGAGGCATGGATGTCTGTCTGCATTTATTCTGTGTTTGTGTTGTTCTGTATAGGTAGAAGCCTTGGAATGGGCTGATCCCCAGTCTTATCAACTGTGTATAAGATTAAGAAACTGAAGGAAGTGCCCAGGGCCCAAACTGGGTTGTAGAGACATCAGTAATAATAGAAATTAAAATGTATTTAACAAAAAGATCAAAATTATACATTGCATTTAACAGAGCTAAAATTTAAAAGTGAAATTACCTTTAACTGGACAAATTCCATTTGCAAACTATGAAGGATTCTATACAAACAGCATAGTTTTATAATGACATTTTATGTTAAAGCTTTCTCTTTTTAACAATGCAGTTTTTGCTGCCACAGGACACTAGTGTTTTAGAAGTATTCTATAATTCTACCATATGTAAAGTTTTTCACAGCCTGAATATATTCTTTCATCATTTTGATGACATACTCCAATGTTCCAAAGTAAAGACAGCGTACTGGCTGCAAGGCTAAGTAGCAATAGGATAACTGTATTTATGAAAATATTAAGTTAATGAGAGGGTGCTTGACTTACATGATTCTGCAGAATTTTTCTTTAAACATTTTCTCCTGGTTTCTGATGAGGCAGAAAAGCACAGATAATGATAACTGCATAGCACAAACTTACAAGTTACCTTGTAAATGAATCTGTTCAGTGTAAAATATTACTCACCGATACGGAAATCGATGTAACCCTCCCCACCAGACATTACTAACATGGCTGCAGGCTTCTTTGTTTCCAGTGCCTCCAATTCCATGTTCTCTATAAGAGGTGTCTCACTAGTTGCTGCTGACAGACCACCACAACCTGCAGAAACATTCAAAGTATGAACTCCCCTAACAGTATGATAATGTGACATGGCAGATGAAAGCTGGAAGAGCAGGCCCAGAAAAGACATCCACTGCTAGGACATGGCATGATAAACAAATCTCCAAGGTAAAGATTATGATTGCAACAGTTCAGGACATTGTTAGAGGTAGTATTTAAGATGCGCTCTGTGCCGAGGCTATATAAGGAAAACCAATAGGAATGTTCAGTCAGTCATGAATGTGAGGGAGCTGCTGTCATGGGTTAGCTGTGGGAGTTGCCAGCCAGTGAGAATGGGAGCTGTTGAACACAGAAGCCAAGGAATGTAGACTGCTGAGAGCCATAACCGAGCAATGGCTAGTGAAGACAAACTGAGAAGACTTAATACGTGCTACAGAAAATTGTAAAGTACGTGAATCAGCAATATTGCTATACAAGAAATCCAAGTCCCATGTCTAGTCACTAAACTGTGGCAATATTATACTTGCTAACTTAAAAAAAGGAAAATTTCACTCTCATTTTTCTTTATTTCACTGAGTTAATTTTTCATGCTTAGTGAGAAGTATATTTTCTGGTTAGTACGAAGTGTATTCCCAGACCAGACTGAGACCATGGAAAGTACTTCAACTGATAAACTCCTTTCGCATCTCCCTTCAGCTATCATTCTGTAGCATACTTTCCTTACTTCCTTGCACGTGTTCAGTCATTCTGTTCACATGACCCAGAAGCACAGAGTGCAAATGCTTGCCACTCTAATTACTGTGGCATATAGATCCACTGCCAAGCGGTGACTCTGTAAACAATGATCATTTCTGGGCAACAACTCGAAAAACATGTTCCTGCAGCAACGAGTACACATGCAACAACAGAGTTACTGTTGGAAATGGTATGCTTCTGCATGGACCATGCCAAGATGTTATAAGCAAGGGACAATGTCAGTTGTTAGGCAGTTCTGCATGGGAGGCTGTGAAGACAGGATGTGAGAGCATGACACTGATGAATTTCCACTGTTAGAAGCTGTTACCAAGGAAGGGTACAGCAGGCTGGAAAAGGCTTAGTGGGTGCTGTGGTGATTTGTGAATTGTGGATATTAATAATGGCGCTGTAACTGCTTGTAGTTCTGAGTTGTGGGTATCAGCGATCAATAAATCCATTCACCAATTCAAACCCTGTCTACAGTCACAGCCATACACATGACAACATGTTACATATCACGACTACTACTAGTACTAACAGAATTGGTATTAGCATTTTTAATACACTGTCAGAATATCAGTAACAGTATTAGAAGTATTAGTATTACCAGTAGTATTATTAGTACTGTCTTCTTGGGAAGAACTTCCTACTCAAATTCTGATTTTGTCTAAATCAAATGTCAAAAATTGACCACTACTGTAATGTAGTCTATGAACAATACTTCATTAAGTTTGTTGGCATGTTTATGATCCATCTCCATACCANAGTTGCTGCTGACAGACCACCACAACCTGCAGAAACATTCAAAGTATGAACTCCCCTAACAGTATGATAATGTGACATGGCAGATGAAAGCTGAAAGAGCAGGCCCAGAAAAGACATCCACTGCTAGGACATGGCATGATAAACAAATCTCCAAGGTAAAGATTATGATTGCAACAGTTCAGGACATTGTTAGAGGTAGTGTTTAAGATGCGCTCTGTGCCGAGGCTATATAAGGAAAACCAATAGGAATGTTCAGTCAGTCATGAATGTGAGGGAGCTGCTGTCATGGGTTAGCTGTGGGAGTTGCCAGCCAGTGAGAATGGGAGCTGTTGAACACAGAAGCCAAGGAATGTAGACTGCTGAGAGCCATAACCGAGCAATGGCTAGTGAAGACAAACTGAGAAGACTTAATACGTGCTACAGAAAATTGTAAAGTACGTGAATCAGCTTCAGAACAAATAAAGACACAATGATAACTGGATCAAGAACAACAGCCCTCAAGCAAAAATATTGAAGTTTTAATTGTTTTTATAGATTTTTAATGATTTTTAATAGAGAACATTTATTTTAAGTGGGAGATATCACATTTACATGTGATGTGTGAAGTTGCACATACTACACAGTGAAACCATTTTAGCAAATAGTGAAACTTGATGATGACCACGCACAGCCAAAACATGTAGTGGAAAGAGGGATAATAAATGGGTTGCACTGTAGATGGAAGTATAGTGTGTGTGAATGAAGAGTATATTAATGCAACAGGATGCTTAAATATGGTATCATGGTATAGTATTGCCAACATCTCAGAAATTAGCTGGACACCATGCAGATATCAAGGATGGGACGAAAACAAACAGTGCAAAGGCAGGTTGGGCTCTACAATATGATATTTACACCACATTTCACGAAAATCTGCAAAGTGGTCTCAAAGTTATTATGACAGAAGAGACACATGGACATGACGATACCAAAAGCTTGTATTTCCTTACAAATAAGCATTGCAGGTTATAGGAGATTAAATGATTGGGGTAAGGATTAAAACAATTTTATCCAAAACAAATGCATCTGAATACAAAAACAAGAAATGGAATTTCACAGATAGATGTCAAAAAACCATTCACTGTTCAGAGAATCAGATATGTCTGTGTGAATTTTGAGAACTAAACAAAGCTTATTGTCAGTAGTGTGCAATTTGAATGCTTACCTGGAACAGCAACAAAGAACTTGACAGCATCTCGATGACCATGAAATGAAAGCTGTGCCTGTGCCATGGAGCAGTATGGGATAAAGCTGCCAGGAGTCAGTTTGCTACCTGAGCTGTCAGTATATACACGTACCACTCCACCAGGCATACTTCTGTGGGCTCCTTGTGGGTTGTTACTCACATTTCTTGCTCCGGCACCTAAGAAAGAAATGCAGAGATCATGTAAACACTGCCTCCATGTCATAAGTTCACTGGATTCCCAAATGTTACTAAGAGGGTGAAGAAATTACCTTAAGCATCATCAAGTTAACATAAAACCTTCCTGTGGCCATATGAACCAAGTATATGACTTAAGATCCTATTTCACTAACACAAATCCATTATGTATTTTTTGCCAGTCCCTTGTCATTTCATATCTATGACCAAATACCTTCCTTAGCACTACATTATCACACATCCCCTGTGTTCTTTCCCCACCAGTGTTACAACCCAGAACACTATACATTTCTTAAATTAATTTGTGCCTCTACAGAAGTTTCTACTTTTATCTTTCAAATATCCCCCACCCCTTTTTTGTTCATTGCAACTCTACTAGTTTCTCATCTTATTATGCATTCTGTTGTCTCTCAGCAAGTGTTAAACATAATGCAAGTCTTATAAGTATGAAGGAAAAAGCACAATGTAATAGAAACCTACATTATAAGCATGTGACCCAAAATTACAGGGGCATTCTCCATAACTACTCCTGTAACTCTTCTTGTATCAACAGATCTGATTAAATTTCAATTATTTTCATCAGATTAGGCTCTAAATTGCAAAAAACTAATAACAAATTGCCAATTGGTATTGCTTTATTTTTTCTTTCACTCAGCACTAAATTTCTACCTTCCTATCACTTATAACGCTTCACTAAGACAAACAATCACAACACTATCTTCCTGAATGTGGTGCTACACACTCCGGTAGAAGTTTACTTTCCACTGGATTATATGGCATAACCTCACAGGTGATATTCTACCAGAGTGAAGAGGATACTGACTCTGAGTCTGCACCATGAGAACCTCAAATCCAATAATATACAAGATCTACTTGCTTACTCCACCTAAATAAGAGGCCTGTTTTACTCCTCCCTCCAGTAATCAGTCGGACAGACACTTTCCACAACACTCTTCACCATAATAAAACACTCTACTAACACAATTCAGTCATCGTCATCATGACCATCATTCCCAGTGGCAGGTCTAATGACACATGTTATAAATACTACAAAACAGAATTATTTCATAAATTCTTTTTACTTGTAGTTTCTACATACAATGTTCTTGTCATTCCTATCAGAGTTCACGATTCTCAGGAACATTAACTCACACATACAGAGTAACACAATGAAACTACATATTTATAGACTACTGTAAAATACATGACTCCCCAAATTTATGTATCTATATACTTCATGCAAAAAAATATTATTAATTGCAGTTTCTAACAAAGTACAGAAGAGCTTCTGTACATTACCTGCAATGGTAAAGAAATACACACTGGATGTGTATGTAATGATTTTATTAATTATGTTATACTGAATTTTTAATGTATATATCCTGTAACCTTATGTAATAATTCTCACAGCATTAAATGGAGCATTTCCTAGGGAACCAGAATGTATAACTGTACATTTAACAAAGAACTTCAAAATATTACTCTGTACATGTCATTTGTGAATCTGATAATTAGAGTAAAGACATGTGTTGACAGAACAAACTCTAAACTCTTTGCACACTTAGCCTTAAGCAGTTCAAATCTGGGTATTGTTGACAAGGTTATTTTTATGTCCACTCAAAAATAGGAAAACCTCTAATTTAGATGCATGTTTTACATGAAATTAGCTCTTATCATCAGACCCTTGCCAAATTTGATTGGAAAATGTTTTACTGTTGGAGTTCCACTTCAACAAAAGCCAATATTCAGACACTGAAGAAGTGCATACTCTCCGCACAGATTTTGAATTACATTAATATTACAAATATTTTATACAATCAAGCACAAAAGTACCTTTCTTCACCCTGTTGGTCAGTCTGGGCTTCCACTACTTAACAGGCAAATTTAATTCTTACACTCAGTTTTCACTGCTATATTTGTCAGAATTAAAAATGTTCCTGTCAAATCTAAATGTTGATATATCTTTCACATACCGTTCTTTCATGTGACACAGCAGTTTTCTCAAAAAGGGCTGAAAGAGTCTAAAATAAGCTGCCTGATGCCCTCCATATTTAGCATTAATATGAAGCATATATGACTTGTGTAATACAGAAAAAGCACACTTTGTCAAATTTAGAGAATAACAAGTTCAGAACTTGGTATGCAGAATCTGATACCTGAATATCAGCAGTACGATTCTGACAGAACTGAAGTTTTGACTTAACCAACATGATGCATTAGCAAACATGTAACAAACTGTGATTTTTATTTTTCAATAAAATATTTTAAACAAATCTAGTTTATCTATTGCAGAATGTATTAGTTTCAGATGACTGAAATGTCAGTACTCACTTTCAGAAAGAGGAACTGAAATAATAACTCCATTGCCGGTTCCAATCCACAGGCGACTGGAAGAAATGAGTAATGCTGTGATCCGCACAAAGGAGAATCCCAGCTTCCCTGTACCTGCCATAACATAAATGATGCAATATTTCTAATTCAACTTCTAAGGAGACGACCTTTCCTAGTCAACTTTCCCTACTTTATGAGGAACTGCTGTCTTCACCTTCTGGGCAAAAGTTCTATCATGAAGATGGAAGAAGCCAGCTTCTCTGAAAAGTTAGCAAGCACCTACTAGACTATATGGTACACAAATCACAAGGCAAAAAACTAAATATATAAACTGTCACAATGTGCCCCTTAGTTACAGAGATACATATTTTCAAAAAGTTGTATAGCTGGCTTTGGCACCATTTATCGAACAGGCCCCACAGAGCAACCACTAGTCACTCTGCTTTACAAAATTTGGGGGTACACTAATATTTACATGCAGACTGTTTCCACAAATTTACAAGTATCACCAGAGCCATCACATGAATTCACAGTTTTCATAATTTTTGCTCATCACAAAATGATCAAATCAATAACAATCAGATGGGCATGGTATGTATATTTGTTCATAAGGAATTATGTTTTAGTCATGTTGATTTATCAACCTACTGTGTGTAAAAAAATTTAGAATTATGTTCTGTTAAAATAGAATCTAATGGTCTGGGTTTAGTTGTTGACTTCTGTCAATTCTTGAATCTGTTAGAATAAGTTTTGTTGTTTTTGTATAAACCATCTATTGAATTATTATTATGTGGAGATTTTAATGTTGATTATTTACTAAACGATAACTGTAAACAGCAATTGTCTGTATTACTTAACACATTCAATATGATACACACTGTTAATTTCCCGACTAGACTGCAAAATAATCACACTTCAGCTATTGACAACATTTTAGTAGATAAATCAAGATTATCTTCTTGTATAACATTACCCCTATGTAATGCACTGTCTGATCATGAGGCACAATGTTTCATACTTGATAAATATTTTTTTCTACTAATAAAATTAACAATAAATCAAGATCTAGTTATAAATCTATATTACTATTAATTATTTCACTGAAAAGCTATCTTATGAAAAATGGAATTAAGTTTATCTTAATACTGATGTTAAATGTGCTTTTAATAAATTTTTATCTATATTTTTAAACATTTATGTATCAAGCTTCCCTGTTCTCTACTTGAGCAATAACAATGATAAAAGTTGGATTACTACTGGTATAAAGACATCTTGTAAATGTAAAAGATTTTTATGTAAGTTAATTGAATATAAACGATCCAAAAGTAAAAACTTATTATAAAAAGTATTGTCTTATTTTAAGGAAAGTAATTTATGAAGCAAAAAATTATAATATAATCAGTTAATTGAAATTTCTAATAATAGAAATAAAACAGCATGGAATATTATAAGAAATGTATTGCATAAATCCACCAGTGACAATTATATGCCAGTTATGTTTAAAATGGATAACAGGAACATTCAATCTAAAGATGTAGCTGATGCTTTCAATGAGTATTGTTTGAATATTGTTCATAGTCTGCAAACGCATCCAGATAAAACTAATTCACCTCTTAAATTATATTTAAGCATTCTGTTGCATTATACACTTCTATATGTAATAATACAAATGCCATCATGAGTGCAACAATTTATTTTATTGTAGATCTTTGTCTTTTCTTCCTCTACACTATATGTTTTGGCCATAATTGACCATCATCAGGTGTATTATTCACTTCATAGCTGTAGCACTGCACACAGTCCAAAATCTAAAACATCAGCCTGTCAGTTTTGTTTTAAAATCTCGCCAACACACGCTTGTCAATTTGATTTTAGAATTACAGTCTAAAATCTGAAGTTCAAAACAAAACTGACAGGCTGATGTTTTAGATTTTGGACTGTGTGCAGTGTTACAGCTATGAAGTGAAAAATACACCTGATGATGGCCAATTACGGCCGAAACATGTAGTGTAGAGGAAGAAAAGACAAAGATCTACAATCAAATAAATTGTTGCTTTCATGATGGCATTTGTATTATTTCACCTCTTAAATTATTAAAGAACGCTTATCAGCCTATTTTTCAGAGTATGAAAGTAATCCCTGTAACCAAAGGAGAAATTATTAATATAATTTATTATTTAAAATCAAAGAAGTCCTCTGGTTATGATGGGATTTCATCTAAAATATTAAGACTTTGTAGCATCTTTATAAGTGCGCCTCTTTCCTACATCTGTAATATGCATATCATTACTGGTGTATTTCCTGAATGCTTGAAGTATGCTGTTATTAAGTCCCTGTATAAGAAAGGAGATAAGGTTGATATTACAAACTACAGCCTAATTTCTATGTTGACCGTATTTAGTAAAATTACGGAACAAGTTATGCATTGTAGATTGAGTCAGCATCTACAAGTCAATAATATTCTGGCGCAGGAACAATTTGCCTTTGGGAAAAATTTCTCAACAGACCATTCTGCTTTCTCTTTTATGACTGGCATACTTCAGGCCTGGAATGACAAACTGCAAACTGCAGGGATTTTTTGTGACCTTGCTAAGACTTTTGACTGTGTTAATTATGAGATATTGACATCTATACTAGAGTATTATGGTGTCCGGGGTTGTATATTAAATTGGTTCAAATCATATCTATTGGATAGAAAACAAAAGTGTGTGCATTAAAAATAACGATGGTCAGGGCTATTTTTCATCTTGGGAAAAAGTTAAGCAAGGTTATTAGATTTGCTCTAAAACAGCAGTTGCAACAGCAGTTTCTAGCGGGAATTTGTTTATGAATGAAGTTCCTGTGATAAAATTTTTGGGTCTGCACATTGATAAGAATTTGGATTGGAAGAGTCATGTAGAGTATATTCTCCCTTAACTTAGTTCAGCTATTTTTGTAATTAATCTTATTTTATGAGTAAAAACATTTTACGAATGGTGTATTTTTCTTATGTCCCCTCTATTCTTAAGTGTGGAATAATTTTCTGGGGCAACTCAATGAAAAATGTTAGAGTTTTTAAATCACAAAAAAGTAATAAGGATTATATCTGGAGTGGGACCTAGAGACTCATGTAGAGATCTTTTTAAGAAATTGAAAATACTGAAATTGTCATGTGAATACATTCTCTCGTTGATGATGTTTCTGATTGATAATCAAACTAAATTTTGTTCAGGTCTAGATGTTCATGGTTTGAATACAAGAAATCAAAAGCAGTTATACTTGCCAAACGCGAATCTTTCTGCTTTTCAGAAAGGTACTATGTTTACTGCTATTAATCTATTCAACAGATTGCCCATAACCATTCAAAGCCTTAAAGAGGATAGAATTAGTTTTAAAAATAAGCTGTCTTTATATCTTATGAATAATTCCTCTTATACCGTTTCTGAATATGTGGAGCATAACACGAACAATTAGTTTTAATTATTCTGTTACCTGTGTTTGTTTAAATTTTCTGTATTTGTTTTTTTGATATGACGACCTTCATGTCCATTTGTTTTCGACTTATGAAATGAAATGTATGTATGTAGCACATATGTAAGAGATGAAATATGCATATAAAATTTTATTCAGAAAGTTAGGAACTACTTGGGAGACCTAGGTGCAGATATAATAATATTATAATGGCTCTTACAGAAATACATGAACTGGATTCCAGTGGTTCAGGGTAGAATTCAGTGGTCAGTCCTTGTGACATGTGAAAGAATATTTGAGTTCCATAAAATTGGGACAATCTTTTTAACTATCCAAGCAACTATTAGCTTTCTGAGAAGTATTCTACTCCATGGAGTTAGCTGTTACTATATAAAATTTCAAGAACATATATAAAGTGACACTAATATTGCCCTCACTTTGCACAGCTGCAATAATGGTACTGATTAAAGCAGAACTTCAGCAAAAAAATATGTAACATGGCATGTACTTGCAAGCTGTTCACAATGAATTTAATAAAAATCTAATTGCCAGAGAGTTCTTAGGGAAAGGACAAACACATGAATGGATACACCATGAGCATATTTTCCATACAAATAAGGCTAGAAAATTATCATCCTTAAAGAACACTTCCATCCATTCTGAGCTATCATATATTAAACCTGTATATGTTAATCCCCACATCTCCTTCACAATCTCCAATACTCTCGCATTTCTAAAATACACTTAGCTGGATGTGCCAGTCTCCAAGTACTCATCACATCTTATGATGATCACTAAGTCAAAACCAGGGAAAGTCTGACAGACTGCACTACAGACTTGTGCAATTTAACACACATATCAAATGTAAATTGCCATAAGGGATGTGTATCTGCTATTACAAGAACTACAGAAACCACTACCATGTTCTCAGCCCAGATCCCCTGTTATAAGAACTTCTGGAACTTGAGTAGCTGATTAAGATTTATGTTTACATTAATAGCAATAAGCCCAACAGTATCCATGCTACATAAAAATTTTCAGCCTTCACATATCAGGGAGTAATTTTCTGTTTCTTACATATTAAATTCTACTAAACAACCTCAAAGATTATTACCTAAGACTATAAAGGTGTGGACTAGAGAAACGATTGAACCAAGCATGGCATGCTCAGCTAATAAACTGACTACCAAATTTAGTATATATAGAGACCCATGCTTTCATATTTACCATAAAACAGTAAACTTATAAATTACAGTTTCATCACAAGGAAAAGAAAACATTTCCAGCAATGCTGAGTGATGCAGAGTATATCTGGATATACTGTACATAATATTTTATTTCAGAACCTATAAACGTTTTGGAAATACTTTTTATACAAAAAAAATAACACTATAATATTTTGGAAGGTATTTTCTTTCAAATGCAGTTTTACTAGAATATGCTGGCAGGAAGAGTTCCAAATACATAAACATTTTTTCAATAGTCATACAATTTCTACGAGGGTCGTACTGAAAGTGATGAGCAACATTTTTTTGTTAAGTAACATGAATTGAATTGAATTGAATTTATTTACATTCTATAAATCCTAAGCAGGTTAGTACCTTTGGATACAGAACAAGTCAAAAGGTTACATACATAAGTACCGGCAATTTTAGCTTAAAAATTAATATAACTTAATTTTACATCATTCTCTATTTACATTGAAGTATTCATCTAAAGAGTAGAAGGAATGAGCATGTAGATAATTCTTTAACTCTGATTTAAACTTTTTAG